TGTGTGGGGGCCAAAAGGGGGGGGGGGGGGGGGGGAATCTTTCTTATAGTGGTTTTTTTTTTTTTTCTGGAAGTTAAAAACATGTCCTGGTTTTTGTGTGCTACAAGTCCTGATCGAACAATTGTACAAGTGGCTCGACAGTTCTGGTTTTTCTTTGTTATAATGGGAGAGGATTGATGTTTTATGTTTTAAACCACTTTTAAAAAAGAGCAAAGTAGGAATGAAACTTAAGGTTTAGATTAGTCATTTGCTTAAATTGCTTTACTGTGCAATTTAACACTGCCCACTTGAGTTCCTAAGCTCAGTGATGCTGTATATAGAATAGCAAGCACTCTGTCTCCAGCTGTGAAAACAGATTCACTATAAGAGATTTTGGTCTTCATTGCTTGTGTGTTCTTGTTTTCCTGCATTTTCGTTCAGTGAAATGTAGCACAGAAAGACAGCTGCTCACTGCAGCAAGGCTGTATGATGACTCTGCAGCTTTCTTATGAAAAAGCTTATCGTCTCCATGCTATTCCAGTATAACCTTCTTTTTAGCTCTTCAGTAGACATTGTGAGTAGAAAATGACGAAGTATCCCTAAGCTTTTATTTTAAAAAAAGTAAAATAAAAAAAAAAATCCTTTGCCAGTACAGGTTTCTTTTCAGTCTCTATAAGGTAGCAATTTTCTTAATTAGTGTATAGTATCTTTCCTGCCAGCCTGAGACCATTTCAGCAGGTAAATTTGGAATGCAGAAACTTCACTGATTTTCTTCTTCTTTTGATTTTCATGTATGCAGTACAGTATGTTTCCCTTTCCTATTTATTATCCCTTGTTCCTTTCAAATAATAGCTGTTCATGGGGAACCACCATAACCAATTATATAAGTAGCTATAGTATGTCAGACCTAGTACAAAAGCATCAGAGGTTTACAGATCTGTGCAACTTGCAGAGATGTGCCCCAGTGTCTCTGCAGTAGTTCTCATTTTCCTAAAGGATCTACCCCCTAAAGTCACTTCTTTGATCTTCAGTGTAGTGATGATTCATATACCAAAGACATACTTCAGTGTTTCCAGAGGAGAATTGTGAAATTTGTTCCTATGTGCTCTTAGTTTTAGTTACCATGTGAAATCAATTTAGTCAGCCATGAAGCATGGCAGTCACAGAGGCACTCAGTCCAAATGGTACTTGCATTCTTTAGTGCAAAAAGTTTCAAAAATAAGGAATTGACACTTCAAACTTTTTTGTGGTGTTTTCTCATATTTGTAGTAAGCCCAGAAATATTGTGGTAGAAGTGATTGGCTAGGCAAGATGCCTTAGGAATTGTGGGGAATGAAAGCATTTTAGTGAAAGTTTTGCTTTATTTTGTTGAAATATAAAACATTCTTTAGTAAGGTGTCATTTTTAATCTATCCCACAGAAGTTTGTTTGGAGGACCTATGATGCGAAGTAAGGGTGTGCCTGAAATATTTGTTCTATTAAGCTGACGAGAAAAGTTGCCATGTTTTATAGTTGTTAGTGTAAAAAAAAAAAAAAATTAGAAAAAAAAATAATTCTAGACTCTTCCACTTAAACAAGTTTGTGTGTATTTGATTGATATAGGCCATGGGCCTGGGGCTGTAAGCAGCAGCTGCTACAGCCTTATTTATCTCGAGTGAAAACATTCAAGCGGGCGTCTGCAGTCCTACTGCTACCAAGTGTTTATGACCTTTCAAATATCTTCTGTTTTAGACAGAAGCAGTTTTGGGCAAGCAGGATGTATTTCATTACAAGTCATTATAAAATATTAAGTAAAGTATGAGCTTATGTCCAATTGTGAAAAATTTTATTTGGAAGCCTTGTTAAAAATTCTTTTGACTACTATGATATTTTATATGTAATGCAGTAGGCTCCTACTAAGTGTGTATATATACTGTGGCATATAACAAATACTCACATTGTTTGTAATTTGGGGTCTGTGAGTGCATAGCTGTATTTGTGGGAAACGCTTCAAAAATCTCATGTATTGGACAACTGTTTTAGAGACCTGACAAAGGCATCTTTGTCATTATAAAAATACAAAGGGCCCTAACAAAATGTTGTTGTAGTAGTAGTATTGAATTATATTTAGTTAACAAACAGAAATGGCAACTCTCAACCCTGCAAGTCTGCGTTTCTCACAACTCAGCTTTTATTTTCTTTTCCTTAGAAATAATTTTAGAATAAATATTGTTGTGAAAGTACAGAGAATCTACCTATGCTCCTAAGATGTCAGCTGGGATTGGGGCATGTAAACCAAAAAGACCAAGCTAGGATAAACGCAGTTTGGCATTCATGAAGGGCCAAAATTCCATGTTGCACAGTGCTCGGAAGACTTGAATGTGGGCACCTAAGACATGTGCCTCATTCAGGCTGGTGCCATGTGGCAAACCAGCGACTGATTGCCTAAACTCTAGCTGAGACACTGTCTTTGACAAAATTGCGTTTATGTGAAAGTGGAAGCAGGGTTGGAGTGAACATGTGCAATGCACGTGATAGCTTTTGTATGGAGTCTATGGGAAGCGGTTAAAAAATTCATCTGAAGAATGTGGAAATCAATGGAATTGAGGAACTAGAACTGCTGTTCCTCTGCTGCTGCCTCTCCCAGAGGCTGTAACATCCACTTCCCTGCCTTACTCTGCCCTTTGTCGTAGTTCATTCAAAACTTCATGCTTCTGTTGATACCCTGAATTTTGGGGGGAAAGGGATACCAGTTCCATTGTTTTAATGGAAATGCTTTCATGGGAGACCTCTGCCTGTCACTGAGGCAGTGGACTTCAGATGCGTCAGTGGTGAGCTTTGTGTTTGATCAGGAATAATTTTTATCACCTAGAGCAGAGCTAACTACTCTTAATAAAACTGTGTAGGGGAAAGGCAGAGTTGTCTGCTGGAATCCTTCTACAAAATTAGTAATTAGTAACTGACAATTACGACTACAGTACAAATGGGGAAAAATCTTCATTCTTATTCAGAATCATAATAATGTGTTTTAATGCATTATTATATTATGACATACAGCACAATGGATTTTGACTTTTTTCTAGAAGGGATGAATGTTCCTCTTGGTTCTTTCATTCTGCTTGCCATTTTTCTTAGTTTCAGTGATACCTCTTCACTGTAAAAAGGTTGCTAGTAACCCCTTCTTACCTTAGTGACTTCCTGTGATTTGCAATAGATTTCTGTGAGGGCAAAACTTTGCAAAGAATAGATAGTAATCCACTCAGAAAACTGCTACTACTAGACAAGTTTAAAACCTTGAACCATCCTCTTTTACATCCCACTAGAAGAGCTATGAGTCGAATCTGTTTAATCATATCGGGGATTATTTATTTGTGGGTTTGACCTAAGAGAAAGCAGGTCAATGAGATTGCTGATTGATTTAGAGGAACTGCTGGTGAAAATTTTCTAGTTCAACAGTGTTACTAAAATAGTATCTAATGTTATGTCATGTATATAAAAGATGCACATTTCTGCTCTATCTAGGATTAGAAATGTGTATCTAAAGAATTCAACATTTCTATAGACCTTCCTTACACAGTGAAACCCTACTACAATATTTCTACCTTAGTTGGATGGTGAATTAATATCAGATATATAGGAACTTCTGTTCAGAAATGCATACAAATTCTGCATGCAGAAAAGTATATATAGCTGAGCCATCAGCTGTATATATTGACAGCAATTTGTCAGAGAAGGGATGTGATCATGACATTCTATATTATATATTATCAAAGGGAAAAATCCCAATTAACTTGCCTTATAGATTGGTGTTTACTGTTATCCTGTTGTTGGTCAAAAGCTCTTGACACACCATTCTCCAAGATATTCATAGTCAATGATATGGAAGTCCTGGGATAGTTGTGCTTTGTTTTTTTGGTGTGTTGTTTTTTGTTTGTTAGTTTGGTTTTGTTGGTTTTTTTTAAGGCTGGGGGGCAGAAATCAAATGAGGGAAATAGTTTTATTTAATTTTACACATTGGAAAAATGTAATACGTTTAAATAAAAAATAAAGACTAGGTAAGGATGGCCAACGTGCTTTTTTTTTTTTTTTTTTTTAGCTTGAATATTTATTCTGTAGACAATCTCACAAGTTACATAGTTTTCAATAGCAAGTATGCTTTAGTGCTACTATGCTATCTTTATATTTCTATATATCATTGCCTTGTGAGTTACTACTCTCAGCCTTGTGGATTACTCTTCTCTTAACTGGTGAGAGTTTTCTGTGCACAGTGATATTCAAGGAAGAAACATCTGAATCACTGTTACGTAGCTAAGCCTTCATTGCAAGAAGCAAAACGAAGTGAAATAAATTTCATTGTTTGCAATCCTTTGAAGAGATGATGAATTTGTTAAGGGGCTCCTGTTGGCCACATCTTTAGGCTGTATTTCTGCCATAGTATTTGCTTTCCTTATCCATTTGTTTCAAATTTCTAGTCTGTCTTGGATCCAGTGGGTT